ATAGATAACATTATTACTCAACTTCATCATGTATCATTAAATTACATCGTTCTGTTCTACATGAATTATTTCACCCTGATTTAAGCTTTTGATTTTCTCAGCAGTATGAGAACCCACTGAACTTTAGCATGAGAGGAAAGACTAATAGAGGAATAGAGGAATAATAGAGGAAAGACTAAAAGACATGGGCCCAGGGGAAAATTCTGCCTGTCTTGTGTTCTTGTGCCGCAGCCAGAGGACCTAGAACAGTGCTGCCAACTCTTGCAAGACAAATAAACAAAACAAGCCCATTATTATTTGATTATTTATTATCATCACTATTGTTTATTATCAATTTTTTATTACCAATAATTGATCCTGCAACATATTAAACTGAAACCACTCTTTTATTTGAAAAGCAAAAACAGAAGTTATTTTACATTGTAAAAATAAAAAATTAACCTTAAAAAAGAAAGACATCCCACTCTATTACTATCATCGCTTGGATTACAGCGTCACACGCCTTTATGTTGAACGTGATATTTCTCCAATGAGGGGGAGGAGGGGGCAGAATGTTTGACAAATTACGCTATGGCACTAATATTATTGCACTGATTGGCTGTTAACTGTGAGCAGACAGAGTGTCAATCAATGCACTGGAGAATACGGCGAACACAAATGGAAAGAAACGTCTCCAGGTTACGAATGTAACCATGGTTCCCCGAGGGAATGAGACGCTGCTTCGGAAAACGCATTGGGAATGCCTCCAGCGTGACCATGCTCTCAATCACATATGAAATCAGTCCAATAATTGGTCTAGACGTCATGGGCGGGTGACTTTGTGACCAGGAAGCTATAAAAGCACGTGCGGTGGAACTGGCGTCAGCTTCTAGGAATGAAACAAGCTCTCAAAGGGATGCCGGAAGTATGGCACTCAGAGGACTCGAGGCTATGAAAAAGCATCCTGATCCACCACTTAGAATAAGCTTCTCTGGCCAGAGGCCTCAGCCTCAGCGCACCGTGGAGGAAACGTGTAACTAGGGGGTGTCTGCCCACTGACTGGCCACCGACACGTAGACTTTCAAGGGGGAGTGGGTCAACCCTGCAGAGAAACGGGCCTGCAGGAACTCCAGCACTGTACCAACTGGGCAGTAAACTGGGTCGAGCTGGCGGTCTCCGCACCAAGTGAAAAGATTTCACTTCAGGGCATACAGTTTCCTCGTAGAGGGAGCTCTGGATTGGAAAATGGTCTCAACAACCTCAGTTGAGAGACAGGAAGCTGCGAGTTGTGCCCCCCCAGGGGCCACACCCACACTCTCACAGCTCCGGGAGGGGGTGAAGATAGTACCCTCCGCCTGTGAGAGGAGATCCCTCCTGACGGAAATCTCCCATGAAGAGCTGTCGAGAAGGGAAATCAGGTCAGAGAACCATACTCGGACTGGCCAGAACGGGGCTACTAACAGTAGACGGACCCCGTACTGGCACACTTTCTCCAGAACTCCTGGGAGCAGTGATCAGGGAAAAAGGCGTACAGACGATTCCTCGGCCACGTCTGTACTATAGCGTCCAGTCCGAGAGGAGCTGGATGAGTCAGAGAGAACCAGAGGGGACAGTGCAATGTCTCTCGAGTCGCAAACACGTCCATCTGCTTCACCACCTTGGGGTGAAGTCTCCATTCACCGGGCCTCGGCCCCTGCCTCGACAGGATGTCTGCTCCCATACTGAGATGCCCAGGCATATGAACTACTCTTAGTGAGAGGAGTTTGCCCTGAGACCACACAAGGATCTGGTGCGCCTGCCTGTAAAGGGAGCGCGAACGCAGACGTCCCTGGTGGTTGATTTAAGAGACTGAGACCATGGCATCAGGACTCTCTAAGCTGAAGTCTCCTATTGAAAACGACGATCCTCAGACCCGCGTCACCTCATAGGAAGACTAGACTGATAGAACCAGAGCTTGCTCGGGGCAGGACCCAATGAGACACACTTGGCAGGGGCTCCCACGCCACCAGGTGACCTACTAAGGGAACCAGTCTCTCGAGACTGGCCTCTGGTGCACTTAGAGCGGCTAGGTCGGTGCCCTGAAGCGGCGGACCGGCAGGGAATGGCCGAACTAGCTGCCCTAGAAACCTCCCAAGAGGTAGTGAGCCTCTTAGTACCGCTACGTTTCTGGGCGGTGACTGAGAGAAGCGCTCGCCGAAGACCGCTGCTCTCTGAAGCACCGTAGGTGGCAGGGTTGGCAGATCGATCTCCTGAGAGCACTGAGGAGAGACGGGCACCGTATAATGAGGTGTACACAAACTGTGTGTCCCCACCCGAAATACAGCGTGGGCAGGGAGGAACACACAGCCTGAATGCTGTCTGCTCTCGCCCAAATGCTTCTTTTTGGCTGAAGCTTGACATAATGGAGCTTATAAGTGGACAAACAACACTAAATAAGACTCACAAACAGATAGCGACTGACACACACACAGAGCGCTTGCTGAATGACAAAAAGCTGACGCCAGTTCCACCGCACGTGCTTTTATAGCTTCCTATAGCTTCCTCGCCCATCTATTGGACTGATTTCATATGTGATTCAGAGCATGGTCACGCTGGAGGCGTTCCCAAAGCGTTTTCCGAAGCAGCTCGAGTTCCTGAAGGGGAACTAAGTTGCTTGTCAGATTTCCCTAACAAGCAACCATATTTAAGAAAACAAAAGAAAAAAAAGCCCAAATTCGCGTATTAAAAGCGGACTTGGCAACTCTGACCTAGAACACAACGGCACTGTCAAGGCAACCAGAAACGAACGCACCCAGCGGGTCCAGCCCTCTGAAACAGATTCTTTAGAAGAGACATTTATTTGAACAGCAGAATGCATGCCAGAAATGAATAATTTACAGCAGCATTTTCATGTCTTTTTCCCTCGTTTCCAGTTCAGGGGAGTCCCTGTAAAAAGTCAAAGCAAGGTATGTGTCCTTTTCTGCCCAAGGTCCATCCAAACAGAGCCGATCAACCAAGTTCATACTGTTGAGTTTTGCATTTGAAATCCTTTCATTTACAGCGGTTTCCTGTTGGTTGTATAATTAGCTACAAAGGGAGAGAATTTATCAGGCAGAAATTATGCTCGTCAATAACACCATCTGTCATTATTAGCAGAATATTTTTAAGCACCACCTGGAATCCAATGCCAGACAAATTACTCATTAACAAGAGCAGCTACTGTAAACGAGTATAGAAATGAGTGGTGCTGTAAATTCACATGCAGTTTGTACACAGTGGCATATATTTTGGACCATTTTTTCATAAATAGTCTATATGTTCACAGCTACATTCAGATATATGTGTGCTGTAAGTGTGAGCGCGTGTGTGTCCTTAACAAAAGGGGACAAAAACAACTTGATAAAACTAATTCAGTGGGAGGAGTAAAAGTAGGACTTCTCAAGGAGTCTGTGAGTCCTGTCCCAGCTGTGATCTGTCTCTGATCCCAGCAGTTCCAGTCAAGCAGCTGTCCTTTCCTCAGCCAAGGGACATGCGCAGAATATTATATAACAATTGTAAATTTGTCCTCCCTTGCCCTCTCATAAGTCAAGAAAAAAAATCTAAATAATTTCCATTTACTCTCTCAATACATGTTTTGGTCTTATTTCATGCTTCATGATTGAGTCCGTAAGGTATTCCAAGTAAAGTAGAAAGAAATAGTCTGTTTTCGTAATCTCTCTTAAAAATGTAATAATTGGCTCTCTAAACATATACATTCATCTCTGAGAAATGTATATAGAGTGAGGAGGAATGAAACAATGGCGCCACCCATTGGTTGAAACTTATGAGGCTTTTGTGACATGGAAAGATGTCTGAGATGGAGCAACATTTTATTACATTTTTATGAAAGATTATGAAAACATTTTAATTTATTTTGAATAACTACAGAATGTGTGTGTACATATATACACAAACACAAGAAAAAACAAATATACACTTTTTTTTTCTTGTGTATATATTCATTCTGTAGTCCCTAAATTATTACTCACTTTTCATAATCCAATCAATTTCCAGGGAATAAAATAGATGAATTTCTGAATTATGCTGTTTCACTCAGAAATGTCACATCATAGTAGCAAAAAGGGTTCCGGACATACTATAATTCCATGTTGATTTCAAGTATGGGCTTAAATGTCATATAAAGAGAAGGGCTTTTAAAAACCAAAAATTAAAAATCTAAACTCCTTTTTTAGCAGTTACAAAGGGCATAGTTAATAATAATAATAATAATAATAATAATAATAATAATAATAATAATAATAAATGTTATGCAGAATTGTTAAACAGAATTATTCTTCAGCTGAAAAACATATATTCTCCTAAGTAGTAGTGTGGATTGTTTTTTTGTGAAAACCAGTATTTTCCCAAGCATGTGTGACAGACATGACAACATGACGGCAATACCCCTTAATAAATGCCACCGTATTTCACATACTCGACCACAATACTTTTAAATAAACGCAAATGTGAACATAGACAAAATCATGACAACAAATAACTTAACTGAGGAGAAAAAATTAGTGAAGAGGGTTTGTTTACCCTCATGGTGCAGTGGTTTACAATGAGGACAACTAATAATAAAATAAATCTATTATGTAATATTTTAGATATACTCTGGCACAGTACAAAATTAAATATTAATCTAAAAAAAATAACAGAAAAGATTTATAGTTATTTTTTCTTGTCAAGAAGAGCTTATTCAGAGGAAGAACACAGTTCCATTAATGGATTTGCGAGGCATTGCTTTTGCAGCAGATGAAAATAGAAAAGACAAGGAGGAAGATAGAAATAGGGGAAAAGAAAGAATAAAACCTAATGAACAAATCCTTAATTAATGGATACATACATAAACAGATGGGCCTACCATTTCAATACAAAGATATACAGTATATGTTAAGGTCAACACACTCTATACACATAATATTACTGACAAGTTCATTACCCAGAATGCATTGTGCTTCAGCTAAATGGAGGTTAAACAGTGGTCTTTCAGCATCCATGTTTTGTCCCTCATAAATGAAACATGGTTTTTATACAGACGGTATATATCTCACGGTATATTTTTGTATTTATGTCATATTTACAGGTATTTCAGTGTCTGTTTGCATCTTGTGTCCTGTTAAGTCCTCTCAGAGTTAGAGTCTCAATACGTGTGAATGAAGATGTGCTCTGGTTCATAAGTAAATCTCTTGCACATACTACAGGAAGCGGAATTCCGCTCTTCCTTTCTCCAGTCTCAATAGAAGTCTGTTGGATTTCCTCATCCTTTTTTATTTAGAGTCCATGTCACACGCTGCGGGGCACCCGCTGCATCTCGTGGGTCCTGCGATTGCGTCCTTTCTTGTTTTCCTGTAGCAGCTTCCACTTACTGGTGTGTGATTGGCTGGGGTGGATTAGCTGGCTGGCGTGTGATTGGCTGGCGTGCAGCAGATTGGATTTCTGTCTACGCTGTTTCCGTTCTCTTTTCCAAACCTGCTCGCAGAGCTGGTCGACGCTGTTTGGGCTCGGTGGGTTGATGAGGGACAGGAAGTTGCGGTACCACATCTTGCCGTTGGCCGGGTCGTTGCTGTCGGGTGTGTCTCGGTGCAGGAGGTCATCCAGGTGTTCGGTGGGAATGACATTGAGCGTGAGGCGGAGGAGGGTCTGGATGAAGCCGTGTTCAACAGCATGGCAGTAATACACACCCGAGTCCTTCTGATGGAGGGTTCGGATCAACAGACCCTGTTCTGTGCCCAACACCCGCTCATCTGACTTTATCTAAACAAAACATGTAGACATGCAGATCGGATCACATGCTCTGAGTACTGTAAACATTATTGACAACAGCAGTTTCAGCATTATTGGCTACGTTCAGCCCATAAACCACAGTGCCTGATTATTATTAATTTTTTTTTATGAGTTTGATGATGATGATGATCTTTATAACATGATCCATACCAGACACTGCTCTAGCAGTCAACATTCCTGATAGCATGTTGATCATATCAACAAATTTCATAATTTAATCCAATATCATTTTTTATTACAGCATATGAAATTGTAAAAACTTGTATTTATGAATTGTAAAGCGGTATTTATGCATTAACATGAATATTTTAACTTACTAACTGCACAACATTTGATATCTAATGTACATCCATTTATATTTAAATGTATTTTGCACTATTCTGTGATCTTTATATACAATTATGAATATATATGATGCAGTTCATGAATTATTTTATGATATCAGGGTAAATCAATCACACAATCTTGAGGAATTTTATGAGTAAGATTGATGAAAAGCTTGCATGAATTATGACCTGATATTTAACACTGCAAATATCACATGAAAATCTGATTTATTTCCACACTGGACATTGAAAATGTCAGATTCAGTGTGATTTTTCTGGTCATGCAGGCTTTATTTATTTATTTATTTTCTTTTTTTTTTTTAAATAAAAAAAATAATATTTTAAATGAAAAGAATAAATAAATACCTTAAAATGAATAAGAAAATGTTTAAGATTCTATTTCTAGGTCACTAATCAATATATGTAACACTGATCATGTGAACTCCTGTACAAGGTCAGATGTTTTTGCATCCATTAAAGCACATGATGCTCTTTCTTTGATGGATCATTCCTAAATCATGCTGGAGATGATCATGAAGTCTGAGCAGCTCGACGTCCATGCTGCTCAACAGCTGCTGTCATTTAAGTAAAAGAGGGACAAGCCAAATACTAAGAAATGTAACATCATATTAATTTTTCAATTCAACTTTTTACTCATGCTGATAATTAGTGGTCTTTTGGTCTCCACTGTATACACAACAGAGCATACCTCTTGTTTGAGGTCCTCTCCGTGTCTCTGAAACTGCCAGTAAATAAGGGCACGCTGGGATTTAGGACTGCACTCCAGAAAAGAGCTGCTGTTTTCAACCCCATACACTGTCTTATCCAGCAAACCTCTCTCTCCGTCTGCCTCTTCTGCTCACATAGACAGGGAAACAACAAAGAAAGAAGTGAGAACTCTTGATCCTGATACAGACAAACAGGACATCCAACAGTGAGAATACAAACTGATAGTTCAGACCATATGCTATCACACTAGCAGAGTCACACCCAGCATGTCTATCACAGCTGTGTGTCTCTCAGCGTGTTTCAGGTCTATAGGGATTCAAGGCCAAGAGAGACCAAGAGTCTTTCATTTTCTTCTGCCATCCTTTTAAATCTGAACTATGAAATGTCAGAGCGCAGTGCTGTGGGTTAGCGGTGCCACTGTAATGAGGTGTGTCCGATACAGGAAGTCTGTGTGTGGTCCCCATTAATGTGATCACACGATGTACACCATGTATCATTTAAAAGTTTGTGGTCAGTAAGGTTTTTCTTTTTTAATGGATACTTTTCAACATTGATAGTAAAAAATGTTTGAGCACCATGATTTCTGAAGGATCATGTGACACTGAAGACTGGAGTAATAATGCTGAAATATCAGCTCTGCATCACAGGAATAAATTAAATGTTAAAATATACTCAAATAGAAACCAGTTATTTAAAATTGTAATAATATTTCACAATATTACTGTTTTTATGATCAAATAAATGCAGGAACATAAGAGACTTCATTCAAAAACATTCAGAAATCTTATAGACCCTAAGCTTTTGAACGGACGTGTGTAAATGCACGTTCTAGAGCCTGTATTTTTGCAACAGCTGTGAAACAGTTTCTCAGCAGTTAAATATGTCATTAACATAGCGGAATGACCTTTTTAGGCTGCGCTTCATTTCAAAAGCTTTAATTAAAAACACTAACCTGACATGTACGGCATGTATGCAGAGCTTTCATTAAAACACTGTTATGAACAGTTGCAATTTTCTCTTTGGCTTCAAATTTATACTTTCCCCGCACATCCTGAATTTTATTTTATGAAGAGATGTTAAGGGAAGTATGACGCAGTGACTGCTTTCTTGCTAGCATGTTATCACACTTAACATAACGTCAAGTAGTAAGATCTGCAAGTTGGATCAACCTCATTCTTGGTCTTGGAGCAACAATTTCTATTAATAAACCAAATTTTCTTCTGTTTTTAGTGCTAGGTTAGAATTAGGGCTAAGGCTATTTGATAGAAATGCTGTTCCAAAGCCAATAAAAGATGTTAGGGAGGTGTTATGCATGGTTGGAAATCAGAAGACTGTTGGTTTAAGTCCCACAAGAAGCGAGACATCTCCACTGTGACCTGAGTAAGACACTTAACCAGGAGGACTGTTCCTGTTATAGGTGTTCTGGCACTTCGGATTAAAACATTTGCTAAAATACTACCTAGTTAACTAGTGTACTATGATTCAATAGTTTGGGTTCAGTAATGAAATGTATTTATTTATATTTAGAATTTTATGTGTTTGAAAGCAGTTTTGGTTACACTTTATTTTAAGGTCCAACACTTGCTATTAACAAACCTCATTAACTCTTAGTTTGCTGTTTATTAATAGTTAGTAAGGTAGCTATTAAATTTAGGGATTGAGCAGGATTAGGGATGTAGAATATGATCATGCAGAATATGTGCTCTTTCATTAAAACACTGTTATGAACAGTTGCAATTTTCTCTTTGGCTTCAAATTTATACTTTCCCCGCACATCCTGAATTTTATTTTATGAAGAGATGTTAAGGGAAGTATGACGCAGTGACTGCTTTCTTGCTAGCATGTTATCACACTTAACATAACGTCAAGTAGTAAGATCTGCAAGTTGGATCAACCTCATTCTTGGTCTTGGAGCAACAATTTCTATTAATAAACCAAATTTTCTTCTGTTTTTAGTGCTAGGTTAGAATTAGGGCTAAGGCTATTTGATAGAAATGCTGTTCCAAAGCCAATAAAAGATGTTAGGGAGGTGTTATGCATGGTTGGAAATCAGAAGACTGTTGGTTTAAGTCCCACAAGAAGCGAGACATCTTCACTGTGACCTGAGTAAGACACTTAACCAGGAGGACTGTTCCTGTTATAGGTGTTCTGGCACTTTGGATTAAAACATTTGCTAAAATACTACCTAGTTAACTAGTGTACTATGATTCAATAGTTTGGGTTCAGTAATTAAATTTATTTATTTATATTTAGAATTTTATGTTTTTGAAAGCAGTTTTGGTTACACTTTATTTTAAGGTCCAACACTTGCTATTAACAAACCTCATTAACTCTTAGTTTGCTGTTTATTAATAGTTAGTAAGGTAGCTATTAAGTTTAGGGATTGAGCAGGATTAGGGATGTAGAATATGATCATGCAGAATATGTGCTTTATAAGTACTAATAAACAGCCAATATGTTAATAATAGGCATGCTAATAAGCAACTAGTTAGTCAGAATTGGTCCCTTTACTAAAGTGTTACAGAGGTCTTTTATGCTCACCAGGGCTGCATTTATTTGATTAAAAATACAGTAAAAACAGCAATATTGTGAAATATTATTACAAATGAAAATACATGTTTTCTATTTTAATATATTTTCAAATGTAATTTATTCCTGTGATCAAAGCTGAATTTTCAGCATC